GGGGGGGGGGGGCCAGGGGGAGAGAGAGAAAGAAACATTGATGTGAGAGAGACATCAATTCGTTGCCTCCCGCATGCGCTCCAACCAGGGCCAGGAAACAAACCAGCAACCCAGGTACATGCCCTTGAGTGGGAATTGAACCTGCGACCCCTCAGTGTGCTGGCTGATGCTCTAACCACTGAGCAACAGTGGCCAGGGCCCACATACCCTTTTGAACCTATGGAGAAGTTGGACTAGAAGTATTTGTCTAATGTAGTTCTTTAGGGAAGAGATGTCCAGCTGCACAGAGATTTGGAGTGAGGCTAAGGTTATCCCACCAAGAAAGAAGTCTGAAAATAACCACTTAAGACTTCATTTTCCTAATGGCATTATGGATGCTTTGTAATTTATGTTTTTTGGTTTAACCATGTTTTCTAGTTTTTCAATGACCATATATATTAATTTATAGTATTCACTCTCTTTTTAAATTGATTTTAGAGAGGAAGGGAGAGAAAGAGAAACATCAATTTGTTGTTTCACTTTGTGCATTTATTGGTTGATTCTTGCATGTGCCCTGATTGGAGACTGAACCCACAACCTTAACATATTGGTATGACACTAACCAACTGAACTACCTGGCCAGTGCCAAATTGTTTTTGTAGTAAGAAAATGTTAATTTTTTACAAAGCCTGTTCTTTTGCTCTGTTCTCTAGGTGGGGTGATCAGGGAGTTAGTCATCAAACTGACGAGATAACCTCAAGAAGTGATTTCATTGCCCAGTCCAGTAAGGAATAAATATCTGACTGATAGATGGATGGATGGGTGGATGCACAGGAAAACAGGTTGCTCTCTACTTTATAACAAGCCTCTGCTCCCTTGGAAAACATCAAATGTCTTGTCATTGGAAATATGCAAGCAGAGAGGGTGGACTTTCACCTTCACGAGCCCTCCTAGGCCCCTTCCAAGTCCATGAATTTTTTTTTTTTTTAATATATCTGTTGATTTCAGAGAGACTAAGGGAGAGGGAGAGAGAGAGAGAAACTCTCTCATCACAGAATCAATGATAAGAGAGATTGATCAACTGCCTCCTGCATGCCTTCCACGGGGGATTGAGCCCACAACCCAGGCATGTGCCCTGACTGGCAATCGAACCCCGATTTCTTGGATCATAGGTTGATGTTCAACTGCTGAGCCATGCTGGCTGGGCCATGAATATTGTCTGCTGCAAGAAAAATACACTTTCCTGAAAGTACTAAACTTATTTGCTGGTTCATGAAATAAGACATGAACAGAAGGGCTCACTTATATACAGATTAAGGATACCTGTGGGGTCAAACAGTAGGTTCTTGTAATTTACCAGTTCTCAGTGAACCATGGACAATTTGGGAAAATATTTGCTAAATTTGGATGTTTAAGTGTATGTCTAAGGCTGCTATGAACTTCCCTCTAGTAGATCTTGGCCTATATTCCTCCAGGTAGGAAGAGCCTATAGGATCACCCAGTAGAGTTCATGCAAAATCCTTCATCCTTGAGCCCCAAGTTAACAAAATGAAACTTTTGTATTCACAGTTGTACACCTGCAAAGGCCTTACATAGGAGAAAAACATTACTCCCAATGATATTGCCAATAGTGTTTTGTTTCATTTAGGACTAATTTTATTTTTGCTTGGATAGGAAAGTTACCCTGGCCAGTTTAGCAGCTCTGTCTTCTGATACGGGATGTGTGATGTGGGAAGGGGCTTAGGAATATTCAGTGATACTTGTGATCTAGAGTCCTAGGATGTGGGCTGACACTTTTCACAGAAACCTAACTGGAGGAAGTGGTTCTGGAGCTCCACGTGGAGGTAGTGGTGCTCTGGGTGCCCTACTTCAAGGACTCAAGTGTTTGGGGGATTCAAGAGACAACTAAGGAAGGTGGCCCCATAATGCTTGCCTAGGGTGGACCCAAAGGCCTCATTCAGTCCAAGGGCTTCGAGCTTCTTTGGGGACCCACATTGATGGCACAAGAAATTCCTGGTTGGCCCCAGGCTTTGAATAAACTAAGTTTGAGACTTGTCGTGATATCTGTGTCTTAACCCACCTCTAACTCCCACAGTGACACCATTTCGCTCAGTTGTGTTCAGGGGCAAGTTTCTCCCAAGTATAGTCAGTGTGCCCAGCTCCCCAGAGGGAACAGTGGAAGATGCTGGAAGAAGGTGGAAGAATATGCTGGGGGCTTGTTCTCCAGGCCTCCTAAGTGAGAACAAATAGCAGGGATAATAAAGCAGAGTGTAGGAATAACAGCATTATTGATCACCCTATGCCAGGTATTACATAATCCCTTCATAGCCGTGGGAAGTGATTACTATGATTTTCACCATCCCCGTTCTATAGAAACAAGGTTCAGAGATAAAGTCACAAGTCAAGTGCTAGCTAGTAAGTGGTGGAGCTCAGGCCACCAACCCGGGCTACCTTGTTTACTGAACAACCCCTTTGGGTCGCTAGGTCACAGTGCTGCTTGCCGAGAACAGAAACCTGGATTTGGTTTTCCTGGCTACTTTTGGCCAAGAAAGCAGCCCTTACATCAATTTCTCCAAATTGATCTTTGCACAGGACTTTCTTTCTCCAGCAGGGATCCCTTCTCCAGCATTCTTGCTCCCTTTCCAGTTCCCCAAGGGCCAGGAAGCCCTCCCCCACCCCATCCTCCAAGGTCCTCGGCCACCTCACTTCCCAGCACAGAAGGTCTTCTGGGCCACTAGCTGAACTCTTGAGTCAAGCCAAGAAGCAACTGCTTGGAAAGCAGGGTAGGAGAGGCCCAGAGGCCCCCCTCCTTATCCCCAACTCCAGGCAGCTGGG